TTGTCCCAAAATTTTCCCCTTTGTTATACCCCCCCCCCCCCCCGCCCCCCGGAGCGTGACGTACGCTATGGACGGCCTCATAGGCAACTCCGTACTCGGTCGTACTAGGAAAAATTTGAGCTAACGTTGTGTGGGAAAAATAAAACTTACTGACAACATTTTTAAAAAATCTTCTAAGTTTTTACGGAAATCTTTCTTTTACGGACCCATGAAATATCAATTGCTAAAATGTACTTAAAACGTTTGGGCTAAAAATAACCGTTTGCGTATAACTTTTACTTTTATTATATCAACTAATGTAGATAAGTAGAGTAGGCCAATATCTCCCAGGCCCCCCGAGGAGGGGGCACTCGCTTCAGGCGGGCATCCGTCGAAATCGTCTTAAGATAGGCCCTAATAATGAAATGAACGATAAAATCTCAAGTAGGCTACTTCACAAAGACAAAGAGCACCAAAATAATATTTTTCCTGTTCCACCCCGGGGGCTTTTTTTCTGTATAATAGGGGGCGCCAGGTTTCCTTTACTACTATGTTTATAATATAATATAAAAAATACCGCCAGAGATTGACCAACCCTATACTATACTGACTATATACCCTATATCTTACGTCACTGCTGTGCCGTTTGTCGTCGGCCTTTCAGTCTATGCCTCTACAACAGGCCTGCACAATTCAAAATGTAAGGTGGGCCATAATCATTAATGAAAACCTTGTGCGGGCCAAAAGAAAATAGGATAGGACTTGTGCGGGCGAAGCGAAAAAGGGATAGGGGGAAGCTATTAAGAAAATAATAAGAATAAAGAATACTTCGTTACTTCGCGGGCCACGAAGTGGGTGCTGGCGGGCCGCATGCTGTGCAGGCCTGCTCTACAACATCCACTTCACATGCCTAAATAAATAACCAACTTTTTATTAAAAATGAAGGCTCATCTACATAACTAACCCATTATTCTTTTTGAAAAGGCTCATATTTATTAATTAGCAAATAAATAAATATGGTTCTTTAATTTACAATAGCACCGCCGTTGATGACCAAACACATCCTCCTCCGCGTTGCAGTTGCAATACATTGCATTCGTAGGACCCGTGGTTGAGTTTAGGACCATGAATTGAGACTTTAGACCACAGTAGAAGAACAATAATATAATTCTCTGCATTACAAGGTACGGCATTTGATGGAATGGGAGGGTAAGGTGAGAGTTAAAAGATACATAGTTCTCGTAGGTTATGACCAGGTTGACACACATTCAAGAAAAGTAACAGTAACTCTTCTAACTTTTTTGCCCCCACTGTACAGTGTACAGTACTGTAGAAAAAAGCACCCCCCCAAGTGCCCCCCCCCCTCAATCAAAAATATGTCCAACAATAAATCAACTGGAACTGCTTGCACTGAGCCCCCCCCCCCCGAAATCCGAAGTGCACCCCCCCCCCCAACGGGGGAAAATTTCTGAAAGAAACACTGTTTCACTCTGTACAGTACAATACACTTACACAGAGTACAAGTTGCAAATTCTAATTTCGAGTCTGTCATGAACTAAAAAGGGGTTGTTTTAAATTGAACATTTAAAAAAAACACAGAATAGAATTAGAGGAGATTAGAGTAAAAAGGAACAACAATAGACTTTCAATAGAATGTATCATTCAGTGTTACAGAATTTGTCCCAACATTTAAATGCAGCAAATATTTTTTTAATTTTTAAAACTATCCCTTAAATATCACATTTTCAAATTGTATGTAGTGTATGTAGATTGATGTCACTGTATGTTGATAAATATGCATGGCTAAATTTTCAGTTTATTTGTCTCTTCTCTTGTTTTTAAAAGGTAGCAAGTCCTTTTTTTTTCCTCAAAAAGGAGAATCTAATATATTTGTGCAAAGAGTTCTTTACACCTGCTTTATAAATAATTTGTTCATAACTTAGAATTTCTTAAATTACAGAATAAATCATAAGGAGGAAGTTATATTGACAAAGTCACATCAAATAAAAAAAATGACTGCTATTCCAGATCAGGTAATAAATCTTTGATCACAAAATAAAAACAATAAAAAATTGTATCTTCATGTTATTCTTCATGTGATGTATTATCAAATTATGACTTAAAAGTGAAAATGTTCAAAATGGTTTTAAAAATACATCTGGTGCAATTGTTACAATTTTACTTTATAGAATTATCTGATACCATTTCTTTTTTTTTATTCTCTATTCACAAACATACCAATGCTTTGCTTTCTTTTCACAGGAATTGGACTACCACTACTCTCCACGGAGATGGTCCCACAGAATGGCTCCAGAGGCGGTTACTGTAGCCCACTTAGAAGCTTTAGTTCAAGGTTTGTGTCATAAACTTTAGGCATACAGCCAGTCAAAAATCTTAAAGTGCATGAGTTGATAAAAAACTTTTGGAAACCTGATACTTTAAAGTAATTTTTTAAAACTAATAAAAAATAAATTTGCTGAAGATTTGTTGGAAATTCAAAAGTAAGGAGTTAATTTGATTAATAAGAGAGTAACATTAACATAGTATTAAAATAAAAATGGACCCAACATCATTTAAGATGTCATCAAATTAGCTCGTCATTGTCAGTGTTCTCTTTAAAAAAAAATTCCAGGTAGCAGAAACTCACTTTGGACACTTGATTGTGAAACAGAAATAAGTTACGGAGACTCAGAGAGACAGAAGTTTGATATCTTCCATAAGAAAAATGCTTCAAAGAATGGTTTGATTTCACTTCATTTAATTCTGATTCTCACCTGTTTAAATATATCACCACACTTAGTCTTGTATGTCACCAGCATCTGCCAATACCCTTCCGCCCATATAAGCCAGATTCTCACCCCTAAAGTTGAAAGTTACACAACAAAGACCCAACAAAAAATTCTGATATGTTTTATTTTTTGGATTGATATCCAACTATGTTCAATTTGATTTTTTAAAACTTTTAATAAAAATAAAATGTAAAAAAAATATAAATAATAATATAAATTAAGTTTTTTTGTTTAATGAAAGTTATGTTTCTAATGATCACTAAATAACAACTTTTAAATACAAATTTAAAAAAATAATTATTAAAACAAAAGTTTAATACTTGAAATAGTTACCAGAATGAGTTCTCTTTTTAAGCAATTTTATCTACACCATTTCCCATTTTGAATCATATGGCATTGTGGTATTTAATTTTATAGGCTATAAAATGTAGAAGGAATAAAAATGATACCTCCCTTTTTTAAAAATGAAATATACTTATTGAATATCCATACCACATCTTTCTTTGAAGCTCAAATTGTCCTTTGCATACATACCAACCTTGGGATCAATAGTACAATAATTCCCCCCAAAAACTGTACAATTAGCATGAAAAACTGTCAGAAAAAAATGAAAACTTGAAAAATAATAAATAATTTAAAACCTTTTTGATCATTTTTATCTGTTTTGAATGCAATTTGTAAAAATGGACTCTGATGATGAATTTTATAGAAATTTAGATCCTAGTTGACATAATTTTTCATTTAATTATGCTAGCTATAGTTTACAGATTCTTGTTTAAATTAACCTAGTAATATATCATCACATAGTGTTGACAAAGCTACCGAGTTTAGTTTACTTTCAACATTTGACCTTATTTTCTTATCATAGGATACTTGAGAAAAATTTACTGAGGATAGAAGATTTTTTTAGCAACTCAATGTTAATAGAATATTATGCCATTAGGAAGTTTCCAGTTGGAATAGAAAAATAGATACAAAAATAATACAAAATAATATATCTAACACTTCTCACCGCTTTCTGCTCTAAATAACATATACTTATACAATAAAGGAGAACAGCCTACTCAAAGCAGATAATACACTTTTACGCTGTCTTAGTACCGGTATTAAGGAATGACATTAGTGAGACCGCGCTCAGTTTCTAAATTTAGATGGCCAGTGAGATTTAAACTTCCTGTTGTCAAACATTGAATTTATTGCACCGCCAGTTTTGAACGTGTTGTCTTGCGGAAAAATTATTTATTCTCTAAATCCAATGAAAAACCGCACAAAAGCCTGTAAGGCCGTTGTCAAATGTATTTGTATATATGGCATCCTAAGAAATTTATGTGGAAGCCGTACAGGTGTGATTCCTTGTTAATTTCATGATGTAATTTCAACTTATTTCAGGAGCTCCCATGTTTGCATATATCCATGGTGGATACTGGCAAGTTAAAGAAGTAAGGTAAATGAAAGCTCACCCTTTCAGAAATCTCTTCATTCTCATATACATCCTCTCAGTCTACCAGTCATCCTCTTGTATATCATTCACCATCTCAGTTTATCATTCTCTCTCTAAGTTTATCATTCACTCTTTATTATTATCACAATGGTATTCAGGCTTTGTAACTTTTTAAAACCACTTTCGTGAAGTGGAGATTTAGAATTAAAAACCATCACTATATTTCTACATTAATAAGACAAGAAACAAATTGTGTCAATATAACAATATAAGTTACGATTTAATAATAATTATACATAATTAAACGTTTCAGCACATGCCTTCATCAGTACAAACAAACAAAACATATTTAAATAAGTATAAATTAAATTTACATAATATCAATGTACATGTCCTACCTAAAACAGAAGAAAATAGGAGAGGGCGCTAAAACCAGACAAAAACAAAGTAAAGAGGAGTAGAAAGGAAGTGATTTTAACATAATTGTAAAAACCAAACAGGAAAAAGACATGGCAGCTAGGTAAAATTGTGGATTTGGTTCATTCCATATTCATATATAGCATGTTATATTGACACAATTTGTGCGTGTCTTATTAATCTATTTGAAAGCTTTATTGCAGTCCCACACTAATTATAATTAGTTCACTATATTTCTCAAGGATTCACAGGATATTTTAAAAATGACATGCCTTTAAAACAAAAATAGCAATGCTTTTTTTTTCCTTTTATATTTCTGCTCCTAGTCGGGAAGTTTCCAGTTTTATGGCAGTGCCTCTGTGTAATGCTGGCGCCAGTGTCATTAGCATAGGTTATGACGTGGCTCCTGATGGTAAATATTGTGCAAATTTAAAGAATGGCTGTGTGAGAGTTATTATTGGTCTAAATGTGACCCATTAAAATCCTGGAAGCATAACTTACATTTTACATTGTATTAATTTTTTTAATGATTTAATCTCAAATATTAAAGTTCTTGATTTTATAACTTCTATAAGAAAGAAAATAAAAATACCCCAAAAAATTTAAGGAATGAGCAGAGGAAAAGTCCCTAAAAATGCTGAGAATGAAAGCCAGTCGGAAATGCCAGGAAATACACCAGATTTATTTATAACAAATCAAATTATACATTATACGGGGTGCAAAGATAAATGACCATTAAATTGAGAATTATTTTCCTTGTGGTCACGTACGGCAATCATTATGGTTAGAGGGCAGTGTTTTTAACTGATGTGATAGCAGGGTTGATTTAAAAAATAATGTAAACTTTTGATTTTTTTTTTAATATAATCCTCCAGTTTCATTAAACACGATAGTGCTCCAAATAAAACGAGCTCTTTGTCTTATCATCAAGATAGCTAAGGAAAGACAGAGCAGGTAAAGTTAAGAAGCCTTTTTCTTTTTAAACTAATTTTCTTTTTGCATTTTAACTACGTTGAAAAAGCTCTACAGCAAATAATCTTAATGAAACAATAATCGATTTGCAAATTTGGTCTGACATTATAGAAAATAATTTTATTCGAATGCATCTCTTTAATTGGGGATCTTGTTATTCACTTTTCATTTTTTAACCAAATTCTGTTTCAATACTATTTTTTGGCCTTGTTCTGGAGGTATTTATTTTCTTGTTGCTTACTATTCACATATAAAAATTGTTAAAAATATTTTTTAACGCATTTAATTTACCTTCAAATTAACTTTTGTGACGAATTAAGTCTTCTCCATTGTATTTTTATTCTTAATCCGTTTTAAATTATTTACTGAAGTTCATTTATTACTAATCAACAACCAGCTTAACGTAAAATTTTGTTTGACCAGTCCAGAGTCTTGATCTATGTTTGTTAATAACCTACACCACCAATATAGAATGGATGCCTTTATTTACAGTGGTATCTACTTGTCTGGCCACTGTGTTGGAGCACACTTGGCAGCCATGATGTTAATGGCAGACCTTGATGGTTTTGATAGGGATCTGATCAAAGGTGAGAATTCACAAGAATACTGGGCAGGGAATAGTCTGGATACCTCATTGGTGGCTTAGGAGACATGCAGTTGGATGAACACAGACATTGTCTGAAGCTGTGGGCACAATAATAAGATGAAAAAATCATGAATGTAAATTTGTATGCACACTTAGTGTCAAGTGCCTGAAAAAATTAAGTTAGGCTTTGATTTTGATGATATTTATGATATTTAACACAATTTCAGCAGAAGGATAGTTGCTGACTGATGTCTAAATAATAATATGTTGTACTTTGTTACAGGTGCTGTTCTCACCCAAACCTCCCCTATTTAAATATAACACAAATGAAAATGATTATTTTGTTAAGTTCTTCTGTGATTATTTTTTAAATCAGCTAAATTTCCCTCATCTTAAGTGATGTTTTATTCACAGGGTTGATGCTTGGCGATTAAGTCCACATCAGTTTGTGCAAGAGATCGCAAATCAATCTCAAGACCGTCACATTGTTGTTGCTGTGGCTGAATATGATCCTCCAGAGTTTAGACGCCAGAGTGGAGAAATGGAGATGGTAAGACAAGCATTTTCTTACTTGATAGAGTAAAAGAGTTGGAGGAAAAAAAAAAATTTCAAAAATTATCTATTAACTCTTTACATTCCTTGAATGTTTCATTTTTTTCTTGAGATTTCTAGTGACCCTACAAAAATTGTCAATAATTTTCAGAATACATGTCTGAAGTTCATGATGTTATATTAAATTTGTGTGGAAATGCATGAGGCTTCTATAAATGTTTCTTTCTAAACTTAGATGAATTAGACACACAAACATTTTTGAAAATAAAAAACACTAAGTTCAACTTTTATAATGATCATACAGAATACAAATATAAACGTTTCAGCAAATGCCTTCATCAGTACAAAAAAACACAGCAAAGAAACAAAACATTCATATATGTATAAATTTAATTTACATATACATATATTCATGTATCCTACCTAAATTATCTTCCTCAGAATCACTTGATTATGGTTCTCAGTTATCTTCCTCAGTTTCACTTTAGTATCGTTCTCAATTATCTTCCACAGAAGATTCAGATAAAAATTGATTGATATATTCATCAGTAATATTCATTTTATTAGCGATTGCACTGTGACGATGAATAGCGTCTGACGAAAATGTTGCTAAGATCGTGCCTCTCACTTCGGCATGTCATGTATCTTGAACTCCCAAAACATATAAGAAGCATTAAAATGCGTCTGATGAAAATGTTGCTAAGATCGTGCCTCTCACTTCGGCATGTCATGTATCTTGAACTCCCAAAACATATAAGAAGCATTAAAATGTTTTTAATTTTTTTTTTAATATAATTATTTATCTGTATGATGAAATAAACATAGAATAATTAAAATAATCAAAAAGGCAACATTTTATAAATGAAAACAACCCGAGCACCAAATATAATGTTGTGTTCTCTATATGAGGAATGAAAAGAGTTAACTGACTTATTTATTAAGTTTTCAAAATATATTTTAGTGATTGATGAAATAACTGATTGATGCACGGCTACACAACACATGATCATGATCGCTAGTAAGATACACCGCTACACAACACATGATCATGATCGCTAGTAAGATACACAGCTACACAACACATGATCATGACCGCTAGTAAGATACACAGCTACACAACACATGATCATGACCGCTAGTAATTTTAAGTTTATTAATCATAAGCTTTTTTGTGTAAAACATTATCAACATTACCACTCTCATTTATTAACCCTTGAACTGTGGTCGGCCGATATTTTCGCTCTGTACTGTGGCAGCCGATCAAAAACACGGTCTTATGGCATCTTCCAATCCAATATTTAACCGGAATTATTGCCACTTCCTTTTATTAATAATTAAATCATCTTCCGGGTCAAGCTGTTTGTTTATAAATTAACAGTAAATACTTTTTTAAATCAGAATTTTTATATCGCTGCTTTTTTTTTTTTAAAGCTAAAAGGGTTGAAGCTATGGCTGGGGTCATTCAGTGCCAGAACTAATAGAAATATGTTTGAAAGCCATGGCTGGGCCTTCAGTGCGAGAACTAATAGAAATATGTTTGAAAGCTATGGCTGGGGTCATTCAGTGCCAGAACTAATAGAAATATGTTTGAAAGCCATGGCTTGGCCTTCAGTGCGAGAACTAATAGAAATATGTTTGAAAGCTATGGCTGGGCCTTCAGTGCCAGAACTAATAGAAATATGTTTGAAAGCCATGGCTGGGCCTTAAGTGCGAGAACTAATAGAAATATGTTTGAAAGCTATGGCTGGGCCTTCAGTGCCAGAACTAATAGAAATATGTTTGAAAGCCATGGCTGGGCCTTAAGTGCGAGAACTAATAGAAATATGTTTGAAAGCTATGGCTGGGCCTGAAGTGCCAGAACTAATAGAAATATGTTTGAAAGCTATGGCTGGGCCTTCAGTGCCAGAACTAATAGAAATATGTTTGAAAGCTATGGCTGGGCCTTCAGTGCCAGAACTAATAGAAATATGTTTGAAAGCTATGGCTGGGCCTTAAGTGCCAGAACTAATAGAAATATGTTTGAAAGCTATGGCTGGGCCTTCAGTGCGAGAACTAATAGAAATATGTTTGAAAGCTATGGCTGGGCCTTCAGTGCCAGAACTAATAGAAATATGTTTGAAAGCCATGGCTGGGCCTTAAGTGCCAGAACTAATAGAAATATGTTTGAAAGCTATTTAGGGGAGGATTTAAGTGATACAGATGATGGTTTTAACATTCCCCATGACATCTCAAATCTTATTTTTATTCTAGTGAATCTGATACTAGTCTTAGTGATACTGAAGTAGGCCTACAGCAAGACTTCGAGCCAGGCCCAGAGGTTGGGCAAGGACTGACTGAATTTTAGTCACAGAAGATTAGAACTAATAAATTTTATAGTTAACAACCCAAATCAGTTCCACACTTTCTTTTGAAATGTCTACTAGACAATGATAACTATTTTTGCCTGAGATTTTGTATGTTGTAGGCCTACTTGATTTTAGCTGTGGTCCCAGTTTCTTATTTTTTTCAGTAATAAATGACCTAAAATTACTAAAATTGCCTTCAGAAGTTTTATTGTAATCAAAACCTTAGCAAACTATACATTTTCTGAAAGATAAATGAATAGGCTATCACATTTGTATAAAGCATTTTAATGGAATCTTTAATAATTAATGATGGTATGAGCACTTGAAAGCAAGACATTTTGTTGAATGATTTTTCTTGAGCACTCTAAGGTCAAATGCACTGAACAAAATTTTTTATAGCCAACTTTATCCCCATTCATTTACCTTTCTAAAAGTATATACTTATTGGGGTCTTGTATCAATATTTCTATGTCATTTAATGTTATTTCTAAAGGCACTCAGAAAGCCATGAAAAGCTCCACAACCACAGAAAAATCTATTCCCCAGTTGGTGGGTTAATGAGTTTCAATGAGTATTGTAAAGAAAATCTCTTCACATTACAGGTACTGAGAAAGTTTGGAGTGAAAACCTGCTATTTGGATGTACCTGATACAGACCACTTCAATCTTGTTGAGAAGCTTCAGGAACCTAGTTTTGTACTCACCAAGGTAAAGGTCACTCCTATTCCTATATATATCTCTGAAAAAATGTGAATAAAAAGGGAAGTTGTGAAAACTAACTTTGACCATTTATTTAAACATTGTAGGGGGTCAACATGTGAATTAAAGCTCCAAGTAAGTTGTATATAATATATATATACGTATGTGTGTGTGTGTGTAATTTTACAGGCACTTATATAGACTGACTTAGTTTTACTTTAGAAATAGAAGAACAGGGTACATCAGCGGTTCTCAACCTGTGGGTCGCGACCCCTTTGGTGGTCGATTGACCCTTTGCAGGGGTCGTCTAATACCATCCAAAAACACATATACTCAACAGTTTTGAAGAAGAAACGAAGATATTTTTGTGTTTGGGGGTCGCCTCAACACGAGGAACTGTATTAAATTATTATTAATGTGGTCTTACATAGCGCGGTATGCCAGCCTAGGACTAGGCTCAACGTGCTTCACTGCTTCACGTAAAATTGGCCAAAATAAAAAAAAGAAAGAAATATGACAATAAAAAAACAGTTACATAAAATTAATCATTTAAAAACAACTTGGTCAAAATATTGACCTCGCCCACCCAAGTACTATTTGCCCCTGTCCAGCCATGACGGCACCCAGAATCATCGAGCGTTGTTTATGGGTCAGAGTGGGGGGAGAATGAGTCGGAATGTAATAATAGAAAATATAAGAAACAGAAAAAGGAAAAACAGGAAATGGAGGATCACTAGTAAGAGAGAATTTGGTTAATTCCTTATGATAATATTGTGCAGAAAAGCTGAATTAATTTGTTTTCCTTTCTAACTCTCATTGGTGTGTTAGTGCAGGAAATAAGTGCAGTGATGGAAATATCCCTTGTCCTACCATTTCTTTCACACAGGTTGAACTCAGATCTCAATTTATTAAAGTTTTATTTACAATGTTTCTGATCATTATGATTAAAGAAACCTGCCGTCAGTATACAAGTAGGGGGAAGCTTTATTCAAGTCATACCCAGTAAACCTAAATGGAAAGTTGTTTGCTAACGGTCTGTTTCAGTTAACATTAGATGTAGGCCTGCAGATTACCTGGATCATTGAGCAACAGCAATGACTAATAATACAGTAGCAAGTGAATTAGAGAAAAATGGAACAAGCTCCCGTGCACACTAATGAAATAATGCTATTTTGATGCTCTTAATAAAAATTTTAAAAATTGTACGTCTTGCTAGTGCTTGTAGACACAGATAGTTGCTAGTACTGGTAGACACAGATAGTTACTAGTGCTTGTAGAAACAATTGCTATTACTTGTATTGACAGATAGTGGCTAGTACCCGTAGACACAGTTGTTAGTACTTATGGACACAGATAGTTTTGACTTTTAAAATCAAATTTATTAATTACTCATCAAATGATTCAAATTTCAGGAATGTATTCGACTCATGGGGCTATGATGTGACAGCCAGCACCATCACTTTATGATGTGACAGCAAACATAATCTCTTTATGATGTTACAACCAATACTATCTCTTTATGATGTGACAGCCAACAAACTCTCTTTATGATGTTACAACCAACACTATCTCTTTATGATGTGACAGCCAACACCATCTCTTTATGATGTGACAGCCAACACCATCTCTTTATGATGTGACAGCCAACACCATCTCTTTATGATGATACAACCAACACTATCTCTCTATGATGTGACAGCCAACACCATCTCTCTATGATGTGACAGCCAACACCATCTCTTTATGATGTGACAGCCAACACCATCTCTTTATGATGATACAACCAACACTATCTCTCTATGATGTGACAGCCAACACCATCTCTCTATGATGTGACAGCCAATACCATCTCTTTTTGATGTGACAGGACAACATAATCCCTCTATCTTTCTCTCTCGGCTGCAATGTGACAACAAACACCATCTCTCTATCTTTCTCTCTCAGCTGCAATGTGACAA